AAAAATGTTAATCATTTCTTTATATAAATCTAGCATAACAGAAAGTCTAAGTCTTTAAGGAATTCGTAGTCTTATTGTAGATATAAGCTTTCACATAAAAAAAAATTAGCAACAAATATATGCCAAGTAGTTTAATATGAGGAAGAAATAAACACTTAGAGATTACTTGAAATTCCTTAACTCACTGGGACATTGAATCTTCATGGAAATTGTGTTCCTATCTAAATTTTCTTTCTTTTTTTAAATTATTTTTTAGATTTTTTCATTTTGGTATCATTAATATTTTCTTTTGTTTTTTAATGCAATTTTAATTCTACTAACTTATTATTTCTGTTCAATGTAATGACAATAAATCTGTATATCACTTTATATAAATGAAATATGAAATTACATATAAATGTTAATATATGAAATATACAGAAGAGCCCAGTTTTTTTATTTGGTGTGTATATCTTAAAATGTCTTTTCTGCTCCACAGCCTAAAATGTCCTACTTTTTGTGTCCTTACAGTCATATTTAGATGATGCTTATAAATACAACATCATATTGAGATTAACTGCCTTCATGTATGGTACGTAATTAAGGGTGTTTTGTTTTCTTTTTGATTTGGCATACAACTATTTGAAATATAAAATAAATTAGTTACTTTCAAAAATAAAAGCTACATCAAAAAAAAAAATACAAAGAGCCGTGAAGCCTTCCAAAATTGTCGTCCACTCACAAGTGGACTCAGAAGAAACAATATGCCATGACTTTATGGGTATTAAGAACAGAGAGCTTTCCCCCAAATATTTATTCTCGTGAAATGACCATGTGGCAGTGGGCCACGGCGCCCACTAACACACTAAGAAATGCTATGAACTTTTCTTTCCAGCAAACCCACACACAAACATGTTGCCTGGCAAGCCAGGGGCTTCTCGGGCGTCACCACTGCACCCCTCCCCAGGTCCGCCCTTGGATCCCAGAGTGGGGAGGCCTCGTTCATCAGGTCAATGCGTTGCAGTCAAGTTCCAGTCACGCCCGCCCTCCTCACCTCTCAGACTTCCCTCTGTGTCTAGTTGCTCTGCTTGTACCAACCTTCCTTTGATTGTGATGAGAACCTAGTCAGCTACGAGGTGCCCGGGGTTTAGAACAATCTACTCCACAGTCTTGAAGCCAGTAAGAATACTGATTGATGCATCCACCCAAGGAAACAGCCCACATTCCAGGTAAAATTTATCTTAATCTCCAAAAACTGATCCTGATCAGGTTATATTGGCACTATACACAGAACAGCCTCACTATAATATTCATTACGATTAGATTTTAGGACTAAAAAAATGATAATGGCAAAAATGAAGCCTTACTAGAACCACTGAGAGTGACAGGACTCAGGTCCTGAGCCTGTTCAGAGAGGAAAGTATTAATCATTTGGCCTCTCAACTTTTTGCAAAAAGACAGCAGAGAAGTATAGCCTAAGAAGCCCCATCATCCCATCTGCCAAGGTATTTCAACTACCTCTGGAAATTACACTATAAAACCTCATTAGAAAACTCTACACTTGCTTCATGTACAGCTACCATTCTAACATCAAGTCGACAAAACTGGCCTGACAATTTCACAATCACATTTTCCTCCAATTTTCAGTCCTAAACTTTTGGGGTCTTTTTCTGCTTCCCTGCTTTATATGCTCTTCCAAGCCCTGCTCTTCCCTACCCTGCAAAATAAAATACATCATACTGGATCTTTCTGATTTATTATATAGCTCCACTGACTATTCTAGCCCGAAAGGCAGTCAGCATAGGGTCAGGATAGATCTAGGAACTCACTAGACAATGATGTAATACAATATATATATATATATATATGCAGACATATATAGAATCTTCAAGTCTCTGGAGTTCACTGTCAATTGGACAGCTAATAGAACTGATGTGAAACAATGTGAGATCTCAAGTCTTCATAAGTATGGTATTTACCTCATTTTACAGCTGGGTGAACTGAAACTCAAAGAAGTTACACAAATTGCTCAAGGTTCCAACTCAGGATTCAAGCACTTGGCCTTTTCACTACTACCGCTGGAATAAACAAAGGCAACCATTGCAGATATCCATGCATACAGAGTGAAACCCATTCGGGGAATAAATGACTATATAGTCAACTTCCCAGTTGTATCTCAGCATTGCAGGGATGTGTGTGTGTGTGTGTGTGTGTGTGTGCACATGAGCATATGTACACACACACACACACTTTTTCTTAGGGTATATATTGTTGATGTTCTTAATAAAGGGCTAAAGTAAATGACTCACTTCAGGAAATGGAAGGCTGACTATGATCAGCCCTTATCTGTCAATGTTTAGCTTCTTCAGCATGGCCACAAGGATATTGGTGGTCAGAACTTCTTTTACAGCATGGAGACTTGACCACCAGAAACCAGACCTCTAAGCACATTTATATATTTTTGGAAAGTTCAAGAAAAGCAAGATGACAAGAAATTCAAAAATATATGTAATACATACACACCAGTGCATGCACATATATTATATATACATATGTATATACATACATACATACATATATATCCTAACTTTATTGTTGGTGTTAGGGACAGTATACAACAGTTGAAAGATGACAAACTTCTCAACTAATTCCAGATCCTTAGTCTCTAATAAGCCTTCTAACCTGAGACTTTCTCTGGTATTGCGGACTGATTTCTGTCATATACCAACAATCGCAAAGAGATGGGGAAGGAAATGCAGCATGGAAGTAGTGTAGTAAGCTCCAAGCCTGTGGCTAAAAAGAGAAACACACCTGAGCATTCTTTTTCATTCACTCACTCAAAATATATTTATTGAACATGGATCTTGACCTGGGGCTGTTTTCTAGGTGCTGGGACGTAATGAAGAACAAGGAAGTCAAGATCCTTCCCTTTATGGATTTCTATTCAGAGCGGCCCACTACGATCAGAACCCAAGACATTCCACAGCTGAGCTGGACTGCAGATCGCGTAACAGAACTCCACTCAATTCCCTGCATCCAAGGTAATTCATTAGTCCTAAGTACTTATTAAATATGCTGCATAGCACTTTACTAAGCACCAAGACAGAAAGACATGAAGAATCCCTGCCCTCAGTAAGTCATAGGTTCCAACTCAGGATTCAAGCACTTGGCCTTTTCACTACTACCGCTGGAATAAACAAAGGCAACCATTGCAGATATCCATGCATACAGAGTGAAACCCATTCGGGGAATAAATGACTATATAGTCAACTTCCCAGTTGTATCTCAGCATTGCAGGGATGTGTGTGTGTGTGTGTGTGTGTGTGTGTGCACATGAGCATATGTACACACACACACACACTTTTTCTTAGGGTATATATTGTTGATGTTCTTAATAAAGGGCTAAAGTAAATGACTCACTTCAGGAAATGGAAGGCTGACTATGATCAGCCCTTATCTGTCAATGTTTAGCTTCTTCAGCATGGCCACAAGGATATTGGTGGTCAGAACTTCTTTTACAGCATGGAGACTTGACCACCAGAAACCAGACCTCTAAGCACATTTATATATTTTTGGAAAGTTCAAGAAAAGCAAGATGACAAGAAATTCAAAAATATATGTAATACATACACACCAGTGCATGCACATATATTATATATACATATGTATATACATACATACATACATATATATCCTAACTTTATTGTTGGTGTTAGGGACAGTATACAACAGTTGAAAGATGACAAACTTCTCAACTAATTCCAGATCCTTAGTCTCTAATAAGCCTTCTAACCTGAGACTTTCTCTGGTATTGCGGACTGATTTCTGTCATATACCAACAATCGCAAAGAGATGGGGAAGGAAATGCAGCATGGAAGTAGTGTAGTAAGCTCCAAGCCTGTGGCTAAAAAGAGAAACACACCTGAGCATTCTTTTTCATTCACTCACTCAAAATATATTTATTGAACATGGATCTTGACCTGGGGCTGTTCTAGGTGCTGGGACGTAATGAAGAACAAGGAAGTCAAGATCCTTCCCTTTATGGATTTCTATTCAGAGCGGCCCACTACGATCAGAACCCAAGACATTCCACAGCTGAGCTGGACTGCAGATCGCGTAACAGAACTCCACTCAATTCCCTGCATCCAAGGTAATTCATTAGTCCTAAGTACTTATTAAATATGCTGCATAGCACTTTACTAAGCACCAAGACAGAAAGACATGAAGAATCCCTGCCCTCAGTAAGTCAACACCCTCCCGGATGATGACACAGAGATGCAGACCAAAGAAATGCGCTGTGTTATCCACCCAGGGTCTAGCCTAGCGGACACCATTAAAGACAGCATTCATCTCCGTTCAGGAGTTCCAAGGGGAAAAATCAACAGGTGCTCTGACATGTTTCAACCCTCCGTACTCCTCACCCAAAAATAAAACAGAACAAAAGCAATAAATTCACATCAATTTACCCCAAGAACATTGATGGTTTCCTTAGTCTGGCTGAAGTAAAGCTCTTTTTGGAATTACGGGGTGAACAAAATTAATTAGCAATGATTAATTACAAGAAGGCATGTTTCTCACCTGAGGTATCTTAGCTCAGGTTCTTGTTCCCCTCACCCCCTTCTGTTTTGCTTTTAAAAATAAAGAGGAAAAGATCAGGGCGGGGGACCTTGTTTTTCTGGGCACGGGGTCAAGACCACACAGCACTCAGGAGCAACAGCAGCTGGCTGGGGGCTGCCGGGGCCGCACTCCTTCTGCTCCGCCTTTGGCCGTGACCACCAGACCACACGTCTGTGCTTCTTTTTGGATGACTGAAAGGGAAGATTTTTAAGACCATACTAAAAAATGGCTCTGCTTTTAGGATGTGTATACTTGTTCTGGTGTTTTCTTCCAGGGTCACGGTGAGGCACTTTTGGAAGCACAACTAAAAAAAGTGCAGCGACACTGGCATCATGAGCCCTCTTGACTTGACCACACTGGAGCCCAAATCAGTAAACCCAAAGATAATTTTTCAAAATGTTTACCTTGTTCCATACCTCACCACAAAGCAAACAACCTAATTCACAGACTTCCTGATACGGTCAAACTACCTCCAGATACTCCTGTCAATACATTTTTTAAATGCTGTCCTTGATTTGATCACTAGCAAGTATAACCTCTTTTGGGCTTTTAGGGTATAAGAGAAAACTGCAGAAATGGACATAAGAGCCAGTTCAATCATTCTTCAAATGAACAAAGACACTCTACAAAAATCTTTCTTTTATTGACTGTCTTTTCCGCAGAGGAAAAAAATTGAAGCTAATCCAACCATTATCTCCACTTGCATGAATCACTGCCACATCATCTGAAGAGGGCCAAAGGAGCAGGTCCTGCTGCTGCAGACGGAGGTCACGCTAGGGAATGTCTATTAGCACGTTATGGCCTCCCGTGCCTTTGAATCAACAACTACAGTGTGGATAACAAACACAGTAAATTGACTAGGAAGAATACATGTGAGTAGATAGAAGACAAAATGCTCAGAAGAAACATTTTAAGAAAATCTACAAACATGCAGTGGGATGTATATCAGCCTTTGGAAGAAGACACAAATGTAAGTGGTTTTACTGGGCAAAGGTATGAATTATTACCCAGATGGTGGGAGGATACTGACAACAGTCCTAAAATCCACCCCAAGGTGGGAGCAGACATAGGATACTGTCATGATGGGGGATTTTCGACTATCTGGATATGTGCGGATGGTCATGTGCCTTTAAAAATCCAAGCCTCTGAACTGTTCCAGGTTAAATGAAACTAAGATGTGACAACTAAATGTGTGACTCTGAATGGAATCCTAGACAAAAAAAATATATTACTGGGACAAAATTTGGGACCTGTAAAACAGTAATATTGTATCACTGTGAATTTCCTGGTTTGATCATTTTACTGTAGTTATGTTAAATATTAATATTTGGGGCATCTGAGTGAAGGGTATTCTGGAATCCTTTGTACTATTTTTGCAAACCTTTTATAAGTCTGAACTGATTTCAAAATTAAAATTTAAAAGACTTTTTAAAAGAGCTAATACATACACATACACACCCCTAGAGGCCCCTGATAATTTCTGGATCTGCAAAAATGTCATCTTCCAGATGGAGGAAACAAAATAGGGAACTCCTAATCCAGCCTTAATTCTGATTCAAATGACCACCTAACAGGTGACTGAAACCTTCTGGGTTATAGCCTTGCTTATGCCAACCTTTTCAGAGGAGGTGGTCAGTAGTTAACCCAGGCCACATATATCAAGAAAGGAACTTCTAAAAAATATACAATTATGTGTAGAGTCAACAAAACAGAGAGGAGACCGAACAAGGACTGCCCTCCAGAACGGGTGTAGAGAGTAGCAGCAGGCCCCTTCTCTCTTCGCAGAGAGGGCACCAGGGGCAGAGGGGCTGAGAAGGGCACACACGTCAGCCAGGCCGGGGGTGGGGGGCAGGGGAGGGCATGCTTGCAGCTGGGAGGAGCTGCAGCCCCTGAGGCTCCTGGAGAAGGGAAGGGGGATTCTCTGCTTGGGACCGAGAAGGACCTTGGATGCACCTGGGCAGTCCAACAGCTGCAGAGCAGAGAGGTGCAGAGGACGCTTAGATTCTCCTGCACATCCTGCAGCCTAGGGAACCAGGAGGGCAGCAGTTCAGGGGAGACGGCAAGAGTGCCCTTTGTTATTTACCACCACAAACCTGAGCCTCAGCAGGTTGCTAGAAAATAAGAGATGCCAGCAAGGATGAAGTAGAAACGTCTTACTAGCCAAGCAAAGAACTCTAGAAAAAGTTAGGTGTTTACACTGAGCTTTAGAAAGCAGAACTGAGAAAAACGTGGGTGAATCCCAGGACCAGAAGTTTGAAAAAGGAATGCTATTACTACTCTATACAGCATGAAGCATGTGCCAGACACTCTGTCATGCATTTTACATACACTACTGTATGAAAAAGGAAAAATGGAAATGGTTGAGAAACATGAAAAAAGATTTTCAATCTCATTAGCAATTTGAGGAATGAAATGGAAATAAAACCTTTTCATCAGATTAACACACACACACACAAATTCAAAGGTTTGGAGAAAATGGGCACCCTCATAAGTGATTGGATGAAGTACAATTTGGTACTTTTTTACAGAGAGAATAATTTGTCAATATCTGCTAAGATATTAAATGTGCATACCATTCAACATGCAATTCCACTTGATATATGGCCTAGAAAAATGCCCAAATAGGTAAACAATGAAGTATATACAAGGATTCTGCTTACATCATTATAATGATGTAATGAAAAGCTGAAAACCACCTGTCAAAGACTAAATATTTAATAATTTATAGTAAAGCTATACTATGTAAAAAATTCCACAAAACAGAAAAATTTATTTCGTGTGTGTGTGTGTGCACGCACGTACACAGAGAAAGATCTGGAGGGATATGCATTACATATTTAGCTCTATAAAGGGACTCCTTCCTTTCATTTTGGCTGGAGATGGAAGGTCCCCCAAGAACAGCACGCTGATGCTACTGCAACTAATGTCAGTGCCCAAGAGAGTGGGAGAGAGGCTTCTGAAGAATAGGCATGACTCACAGGGACCCCTCCGTTAGGATTTTCATTTAAAAACAAAATTAACACGACAACTATGATAAGTGCAAACAGTTCAGAAGTAAATGTTTGAAGTCCCTTTCACAACCAATCCTACTCCCCCAGAGGTCAATCTAAATAATAAAATAAAAAATAATGACAGAAGAGTAAAGGAGGACATGCAATGAAAATTTGAATGAGGGGCTCAAGCCTAGAAAGTTAATGGTATAAAGAGGAAGTTCCCCATGATCTGAGGTCCCCATAATCAAAAGGGCTTTGTTATATTTAGAACAAAGGAAGTGAACACAGAAGTACAAGTATTAAACAGTGGATATGTGAAGTTCCATAAAGGTAGGTGGGGAATTGCCAGGGAACAGCCTCAGTTTAAAACAAGTCACTCTAAACCACCCGTGCTTTAGTTTTCCTTAGGTTCGTTCATGCAATTATTTAACAAATATGTACTGAACACCTTCTCTTTGCCAAATACCAGGTGCAAAAGATATAAATCTCCCTTTCCCCCAAAACCCTGATAATGTTCCTGCCTTATTGGAGATGACAGTCCATCAGGGGGACAGATATTAATGAAAAAATCAAAGTAATCAATGTACAATTTCAAGCTGAGACAAAATCAAGAAGAAAGTGTCTCAAAACGTCTTTGCAGAGAAATGGAGAAATGGAGTTCATATACAGAATGCAGATGTCCGTGAACGTGGATGGTGAGGGAAAAAAAATCTTTGTTTACATTAGCCTCGAACTGAAATTTAGTATTTCCTTCAAACATGAACCTGGGCAACAGACCACTGTATCATTAGCAATATCTGCAACTTTGTCACCGATGGAAATCACAGATGTTTCCATATAATGTTAGGGCTGCTGCAAGTAATCTGAAATATTATTCACAAGAGTTATCAGACCTGCTCTCACATTTTACTATTTAATGCAGTAACACAGCATAAAACAAGTGGTTTTAATATTTTCACTGCTACATTTTTACATAATTTTCTTCATTTGTAAACCATGTATTTTATTTTATGCATTATTCTGAGAAAGAGTCTAAAGGCTTTACTTGATTATCAAATGAATCCATGGCACAAAAAAGATCAATGATCACTCAGCTAAATTCTGGTACAAGTAGGAAGATATGTGCCTAAATGAACTATAAAACCAAGGAATTCAAGTAACTTCAAATCCACCCACACACTCTCAAGTAATGGAAGCAAGTCAGTTCCCTAAACAAAACAACACACACACAAAAAAAACACCTCAGTTATCCTCAACCACTCCCTTTCGTTTTGACTCTAGTTTTCAACGAATATTTGCTGAGTGCTTACTCAGTGCCAGCCATTGTGCTGGGCGAGGGGGGAAGAGCAGCAAAGAAATCAAATTTCTATGCATGTGGCCTGTCATCTTGGTATCTTCACTGTCTATCAAAGTGGTGGTAGACAATCTGTAAATGTTTGCTAAACGCTGAAAGAAGAATGCCTAAGACCTGAATGAGTGCCACCAGCATGTTAGCAAGTCACAATGTTCAAGCAAAGAATCTTCTGGCTATCAACATTTCCATTTCTTAGAAAAGTTTCATCAACTCTCCAGCACAGAACAATTTCACAGGACCTCCTTCTCTTTTCTCCCTCTTGTAGCTAAGTTGCTTAGTCCCCAATTTTCATGAGAAATTGTTCTCAAGAACATCTAGCCAAAGAGAACAAGAATCAAAGTGAATAGTTTTAAATTTCTGTCAAGACTTAGGCACATTGGTATAATATAATTCATACTATCATGAATTCTAACTGTATAGAATTATCCACATGACTCAAAGACGAAGCTCTCAGCCAGCTCCCTGATCCAGTGAGTGAAAAAAAAAAATGATGAAATGACGTAGAGGTACAATCCCATCTCCCAACAGCTGGGTGCCGAGTGGGGGAAATGGAGAGCTAATTAGAGACCTCACTTTCAGACTCGTGGCCAGTTCACACTATGTGATAGTATAACAAGAGCTCCAAAATGGGGCAGAACTACCCTTGCAAACTATCGTTTCACTGATAAAGGAGTGAGGGCGTCATCACCACACCAGAGCTTAGCAATTCCGTCCCACACTTTCTCCACCATCCATACTCCTGGGACCACTTATTTTTCCAGAGAAAGGAAAATGCAGGCACCAGCATCGAGTGTCAAGTTGAGCTTAGCATACAGCTGGGATTATGAATTGCCAGGCCTGGGCTGCATTGTAGCAAAGGAGGCTAACGATTACTTTATGCTGTTCCACTCATAGCTGGAACGTTTGAACTGACTGCTAAATGACCTCACTTTTTCCATACTAGTAAAAGCAAGTCCCTGCCCTGAACTGTGGTGAACCCAGGCAAGGGGACTAATAAATAAACTCTGTGCTCAAATGAGCCAAGTACTTTAGAAATGGAGCTAGAAAAAGAATCCAGATATTCCAGTAT